AAACAAGAAGGGGAAAAAGAAGGAAGTCCGGATGGCTTTTGGAAAAGCCCCTTTGGGACAACCATGACCTGGATGATGGAGAATCTCCATAGACATCAGGCTCAGAGCCTCTGGGCCCCTCCCTCCTCCCCCCACCTAAGAAACAGCAGCTTCATTTTAAATTGTTTGTCAATTCTCCAAATGACTTTAGCTGAAGCCATGCGCTTTTTTAGGTTGCCATACATATGGGGGAGGGTGGGGCATTTTCCTTGCATGTGCCAGACATAAGAGCGAAGAGGCCCGTGGGAAGCCAGGTCATCTCAACAAGAGCTTGTAACAGCCGTGGGGAGTAGCTGAGCATCTACCTGGTGGGCTAACGTAATGTCAGGGTCCCAAGAAACACCCCCAACAAAAGGAGACGCCGAGGCTCGAGTTTCCTCAAAGTTCCACTTTATTTAAAGTTCCACATTTTGGCACATCTGGGAAAACCCGGATCTGAACGTTTCCAGGTTTTCCCCACCCGAAAGAAAGTTCCAGTCCCTGCCCAGCACCCACATGTCCAACCCATGGCTCAATCAGGCACCGTCCCAACTGGAGATGCCTCCCAGTCACGCCACTCCAGGTGCAGGGCAAGACGTCCTTGACTCTCTGAGAAAGGAATGTTATTTAGACTACATTTACCCCACTCCATATAATCCCCCCTCCCAGTTTTCCCACAGCAATAACTGTGGCAGGCCTGAAGGCCCAATGCAAAAAATGGCTCCCAGGCCTGAAACGTGACCTGTAACACTGGGGGTGGGGGTGGAGGGGAATCTCTATTTCTTCTATTACAACGAAACGCGGGAAATATTTAGAGTTGGTTTCGCATCTGAACGTGCCGAGACGATGTAGCCAATGAAATGGATCTTTGAGAAAAGCCACAGCCTCAGAGTCCTCAACTGATGGGGGACATTTACTCGGAACCATGAAATTATTATTTGATGGCTTGGGGTCACTGGGGGGACGTTCGCTGGTTCTCTCGCTTGGCAAGGTGTCAAAGAAGTCAAGGTGGCATTGTGACCCCCAGCCGAAATAACCTGGGGAAGATGACAGGGGGCAGCAGGGGGCGGAGCTTTGGCTCAACTGCTGGGTTGATGTGGGCTGCTTCTTTGAGCAATCAGTCTGGAGAGCAATGTTGGCCATCGTGCCAGGGAGAATGAAAGAAGCAGCCCAGCTCTCATAGCGAACCGGCTAAACCCTCAGGCCTGTAGTTGCTCCAGCCCCCGTCCCCCCCCCTCCCAGGAGCCCCCTTGCCAGGCAAATCTCTCTTCGGAACAGGCAGGCTGAACTTGGCCCCACTTGCATCTTCTGGATTAGACAGTCCCATTGGCACCAGCATCTTCGGATAGGGCTCCTGGGCGGCTGAAGGGGGAAGGCGGGCAGGAGGAGGCTGGCATGAACGTCAGCTGCAGCCCTACCCCCAAAACCTCAGATCCCCTGCATTGGTGGCATTAATGCAGCTGTTGAGGGCCTGCCACAGACCTTCTCTAGTATCTTTTGCACGTCCGTCCTTATTGTCCCACCTCAAGGTTTATTGCAAATAGCGCAACAAAATAAATGTACCTTTAAATCCTCTTTTGTTTTTTCAACACAGAAGCACAACAGGAATTATTTGAAAGGGCATATGTGAAATGATTCTCCTCTGTACAATGGAAGACTCCTAGGCAGTTTCCTGGGTCTGATTCCTTTCAGATTCATGACTCATTTCCATAGTTTCCTTTTTTTAAAGCCTCATTTAATTTCCTCTCTCTAGCTGCATGCCAGCCCCTTCTACATCACCTGTCAAGTCCCACTACCAACAGGCTGCCTGGCTTCTCTCTTCCTGCAGCCTCCAATATTGCTTTTCCAGGAGGTGAGGAAGGCCAGAAGCAAATTGAAAAGCTGTGGCAGTTTATGCAAAGCCGCAGGACAAGCGGAGCGGCCCTTGGTAGCTTCACCAGCCCAGTGATGGGATTAGAACACCTAGTGGGAGATAAATTTCAATTTAGAGTGACACAAACTATTACCCTGCAAACTCCAAGCATCCGTCTCCCGGCCCCCTCCTCCCCACGGGTGGCACATTTAAACAGATATTACCGCCTTTGGGAAATTCGAAAAGGGGCAGGAAGAGGAAGAGGAGATGTGACAGCGTGGAAATATGGTCATTTGAGGGATGGAACTGGCCACCTGGGCCAGGATGGAATTAGGTGCAATGCCTCCCTCCCTCCGTGGGGAAATGGCGGTTGCTTCGGAAGACGGTGGGCATTGGGTAGATTAGTCTAGAAAGAGCTTCAGGGCCATTAATGTCTTCTTTACATCTAGACACCCATCTAGCTGTGGAAAAAGCACCTTTGGGACAACCAGTCTTACCTTGACTCAAGACTTTGAAGAAAGAAGAAAATTCTTGACTTTGAAGAATTTTAGAGTCTTTCAGACAGACAAGTTCCGATAGGAAGTCCCTGTAATCCCAAGACTGGGGTGGGCTTTCATATCATCATCATCCCCTTTTAATGACCCCATAATCCCTTGCGGGGTTGAGTCTGGGCAACAGAATGGCATACTGGCCGGATGCCCTTCCTATTGCCAGTGCGGAGTTTTGTTCAGCAGACATATTCTCATGGTGCCCAGAGAGAGAAATATCTGCCTCTACCTAGGATCGAACTCACAGCCTCCTGATTGGGAGGCGAGAGCTCCACCTCTAGGCCACGGCACCACTCGGTGGGCTTCCATGTTAGGTCTTAAAACCAGACACTCAATCTTATGGGTTAACACAATGACCTCTTTGCCTGTATCCATATCAAAAGCTGAACTACAAGCTAAGAAACCACACTATTGTGTGAACCTCTCAGGCTGAGGAGGAGAGAAGTACAAGCATCTACAGCCTGTGCCAAAACACACTCCAGGGTTCTTGTTGAGCAACAGGCGGCAGGTGCAGCTTCTACCCAGGGACTCTCATATCACAAAACCACTTTCCTCCCCCAGGCCTGACAGCGAGTGTGATCAGTTATTGTTAAGCTCAGGTCAGAGGTGGGATTCAGCTGCTTCAGACCAGTTCACCCAAACTGGTAGCGAAATCGTGGTTGGGCCCCACCCACCCCGGCTCTGTTTAGGCACATTTTTAAGGCTGGGTGCAAAGTACATGTGCAAAAGGCCAGCCCCATGCGCAGAAGGGATGTGTGTGCCCGTGAAGTGGGCATGTGCGCAGCAAACCACTAGTAACTAAATGTGAAACCCACCCCTGGCTCAGGGTCAGTGCTGTCAGGAGTGGCAGAGCCTTGCTTCAATGGGACCCAGCTAACAGGTGACCTGTATGGGGAAAGGGTGCCCCTTCTGCTGCTTCTTGCAATCCCGACCCCCTTGGCAATCCCCGTGGCTCAGGAGATCTTCAAAGCCAGCCAGCACCTGCTCTCCTGTTGTTCGAGGCAGGACCTTGGCAGACGAGTGTGTGTGCACTTGGCTAGTGACCTCTGGACATCTTGTGGTCCAAGTGAAGAAGCGCGCATGGCCCATTGATAAAGCCAAAGCACAATGTTTCTTCCCCCTACAGACCCTGAGTGCCATTCGCATCTTACATTTACTTCCCTTCTTCCACCTGGGAGCTCAAGGCAATGATCCAAGGTCACTTCTTCTCTACAACAAGCGAGCCAGGTTGCATGTGCACAGAGGGACTGGCCCACACCCACCACGGAGCTCTCCTGTCCACATGCAAAACCTTCACTGTCAGCATCAGTTCTCTTAAGCTGAGATCAGAACTGCATTTCAGTTCTGGGTTGGATCTCTCTCTCATAATCTTCCACCCCCCACAAAAAAATTCACGCTCTAATACAGAAAATCTTGAAAATGGAGATAGAAATGAATCAGAGCTTTTCCTTTTGAGCCTAATGGAAAAAGAACTGGAGAAAAAAAATGGAACTTTGTTATTATATATGTTGACAGCAGCAATACTATTCTGCGCACAAACATGGAAGGACGCTTCGATCCCTACCATGGGCAAATGGTTGCAGAGGTCGAGGGCGTTGGCTGAAATGGCAAAACTGACCACTTTGGTGAAAGAAAAGAACACAAATACTTTTGTTTCCATCTCCAAACTTCATGCTTGATGTGGAAGAGAATGAAACTTTGACTTTGGCTTTTCTAGATAAGAAGGATAGATCTTTATAGAAATGTTTATAGAAAGTTCATATTCTTAGGAAAAAGCAAAAAGGTGTGATTTGATGCTCATGCCTTATTCTGCTGTAACAGAGAGAGTCAATGCTTCTTTTTCTTTCCCCTCCCTTTCCTCCCTTCTCTTCCCCCTTTCCCCTCACTGCTCTTTTATTTACTTTTGCACTTTATAATACTTTATAACTTAATTAAAAATGTTTAAAATAACATAATCTTCCACCTGATACTTCTTGCCCTGCCTTCAGGTGCTTTGGAGAATAGGTGGACCCTCCTCTTCTCTGCATGAGTCCCTCAAGTAGCAGTTGACTGCAATCGGTCCTTCTCTTGGCGAGATAGGTTGACCAAGATTAGGATCCCTTGAAAAGGAGGCACTGGGGAGAAAAGGGCTGAACTTCCACTAAGATGCCAGCTGTGCCCATGTCATCCTTTCTCCCGGAAAAGGCAGAATTTGCTTGTCCCTGACTGGAGATCTGGCATCGTATCTCTGGCATGGAAAAGTTGGCTTCTCTGTAGGAAAAAAACTGAGCCTCCCCCACCTTTGAGGATCCAATGAGACGGCCCAAGTTTCAAGGCTGCCTGGCAGATGAAAGGGAGCAAGAGGCAGCCATGGTTTCAGCTAATGCATCTTTCTTCCCCATTCCATGGCAGACCCTGCCCCCATTTCTGTGCCTCTCCCCCCATTACTGCTTTCCTTTCAAGACTCTCGGCTGCCTGACTGGTGAAGCTTCTGTGCCCTCCCCCCACCCCCAAGGCTGGACTGGTTTGGGGAAATCAGGAAAAGTGGGGGGAAGGAAGGGGATTGGGACCTACAGGCAGAAGAAGCATTCACGTCACGGGGGTTAGGTGGAAACAGTAAACTTGGTTTATTGAAAAATATCGATTACACTTATTCCTTTATTACACAGGTTCAATTTTTTTCTCTTAAAAATACCTCTAACGGGCATGTTGGAATTTGGAAACCTGTACAAATAGGGTCACCTGATCATACGTGTGTGTGTGTGTGTGTACATAGATGCAGAGATTCATACACATCCTCACTTCAAAGGGGGAGGGGGATCTATGTATTTAAATCTTTGTTTTCATACTTTTTTATCAACATTTGTTCAAGTCATGATATATATTAGGGGATAAAATTACACAGAAAGATATGTCTGCAAATACAAGAAGCAAATTTTATTGCAATATACGGTAACTGAAAGTGTTCTGGGAGGGGAAGGGAAAAATGGAACAGGAATGAAAGACACAACAGTACAGTTTTACAACATTCTGTAGGATTTTGATAGAAGCACCAAAATAGGAAGGAAAGGAAGGAAGGAAGGAAGGAAAGGAAGGAAGGAAGGAAGGAAGGAAGGAAGGGAGATGAAATAATCAGATCAGAATCACATGACCTAAGAGAGCGTATCTCAGCTCTCCACCCTCCATGCGGTGATTCCCCCCAAATTCCCCAAAGAAGGGAAAGAGCACCATGAATGTTGTGCCCAGGTTGGGGAATGTTGTGTAGGGCCAAAGACCCTGTGCGCCTCGCGAGGCTTGTCCCCTGGAATCTGTCAGGAGTGGACAAATCATTGCTGTCTGCCAATGAAGAGTGGGAGCGGGCTACAGGAAAGGCCTCCCACCCCCCTCGAGAGACAAAAGCACAGACTGGCCAAACAGAGCTGTTCAGAATGCTGTTTTCAATGAGAAATATGTCACTTCCTGGCCTTCTAAGTGATATCCTGACAACCACTCTCACGCCATGCTCCTTCGGTGGGAAAGGAAGGCGGGAAAGGGATAAGGGCCCACGATAATGGCAGGAGGAAAGTCAGCCAGCCCAGCAGGGGAGTCTACAGATACAGATAGATGCTGGCTAGTTACACCCGGAGCTTCCCCGCGTCAGGAATGCCTTGGGAAAAGACATCCCGCAAAGACTCCCATTCAGTCACAGCAATGCCCTTCCCTTTGGCCTCGAGGCTGAGGGCCAGGCGTGGGGTGCTCTTTCCCTTTCTACGTATGGGAGCAGTGAGCCAGAGGGGTGGAGGGTGGGCGGTGGCTGTAAGCCCTCCCCCCCCCACTGGAGAAAGACACACACAATTGCACTGTTCAGTTTTGCTCTGGAAAGACAGAGGAGGGGAGTTGTAGAGACAGGTCAAGTCTGGCCTTGGCTTCAGTACATTGAATAAAGTCATAAATTAGCACCACAAATATTCAGCAACTGAGTACAAATCTGGCATGTTTACCCTGGGATGCGTTGCGTGAATAGCCTATTGCTACCAAAGAAAAACCCAGACCTCCGGAACAGTTGAATTAATTCGCTCATCAGACCCATCAATGATAGGATGATGGGTCACGGGATACAAGGTCATGGGGGAGGGGGGAACGACAGGTGATGTATCACTGGGCTGAAATGAGGGGAGAGCTGGGAGGGACCCCTGGTAGGGCTCAGCCAGGGTTGTCTGGAAGGTTCCTCCGACAGCTATAGCACCAACAAAATGGAAGGAAGATAAGAGAACACTGAGGGGAAAAGATTTTCTTGGTAAAAGATATTTTTTTAAAAACCTCTACATTGCACTAGGTAAAGCCTGAATAGGGGTGGGGGGAGCTGGCCATAAATCTATTGCTTGTCAGAGGTGACAAATATCAACACTGCTGGTACACTTGGCACAAAGATGGCAGCCGTTTTCCTTTGTCCGGAGACACGCCTGCCTCAGTTCCCCCAAAGTTCAGCAATGCTTAATTTTAATCCCATTTGCTGGGTGCCTGTAAGGCTGAGGCGTATTGCTCCTAAGGGGAGGGGGCTGCAGGAACCTGCTTCCTGAGTCTGGGGGGAGCACACGGTTCCCTGCTGATTCCTACTTTGGTCTTAGCGAAGGCATCGGATGCTGGGGACGAGGAGGCTGCCCAGTGGAGCATGGGTGACTCACATGCATCTTTTGAACCCAGAAACATTTAATATTTAATATAATAATATACAAATATTTACTTACAAAATACAAAAATAGAAGCACCTTTATCATATGGGATAAGCAGTCAGAACCTGGTACTTTTAAGGGTCGTTGCTTTCCGATGTTTCTTGTGTGAATGAAGCGGAAGAGAACCAGAGAAACCATCTCTGGTGGGGGGGGGGGAGGTGTTCCATCTAGGTTCTGAGAGAAACCCCAGCAGGGAAGATTATCCAAGCGAGGAGGGGGTTTCGGAGTCCTTCGTCCATGTTTCTGTACAGAGATCAGGCGTCGGCTGCATCGCCCGGCTGATGGCTTTCGGTGGTGTTTCAGGGACTTTCCAATGACGGGAAACTGGCGATAGCTGGACAGTTTTCCCTCGGATGCAGAGAAGCTGCTGAAAGGAAGGAAGGCAAAGGCGGCAGGGGTGGCGTCTTTCCTGCCGGGAACGTTCTGGTTTCGAGGAAAAGGCAACACATCCAAGCGTGAGAGCGGAGACCTTTGACGGTCTCCATGAAGAGGTGCAGCACAGAAGGAGAAAGCTGGCTCTGGCCAGTCGGAGAGCCCCTCGGTCATGTGATTCTGGAATCGGTGGTGAGCAGGGTCCGGATTGTGACTGGGGTTGGGGGAGGGGTGGGTGTGCCTTGGGGCAAAATTGATGTCGGGGTAAATAGGAGAGCGGTTTTGAAAACAGTCCCATCAAACTGTCCAGTTTCAGAACGTGCACATGATGACCAAGAACAACGAAAGGAGAGGAAGTAGCCAAAAAGAGAAGGCACAATGAGGTTACGAAGTTGCCCTTTTGCAGAGAGTCCTTCTGAGAGGCCCTCAGCCCAGGAAGCACGCCGGCCCCACCTCGAATCCAAACTTCTGAGACGCTTCGCCAAAGTCGTTGAACATGATGTCGACAATGGGGACCTGCTCCACTTTGGGGGTGCTGATTTCCAAGACCGTCTTCTGGTAGCCCTTCTTGGTCTGCAGAGGGAGAAGGCAGGACAAGAGGCCGTTCAGGTCCCTGGATTCCCTTTCTTTTCCTCTCCTCTCCTTCTTTCCTTTCGTCTTTCCCCTTTCCTTGCCCTTTCTTTCTCGGTTTCCTTTCCTTTCTTTCTCTATTTCCTTTCCTCTTTCCTTCCCTTGTCATTTCCTTTCGCCTTTCCCTTTCCTTTCCTCCCTCCATCTTTCCTTTCCCTTCCTTTTTCCTTTCCTTCTTTATTCCCTTTCTTCTTTCCTTTCCCTTCCTTTCCCTCTTTCCGTTTTATATTATTTTATGTTTTTTTATTTACTCTCCATTACATTTTCTCACTCCTGCTGCTGCTTGAGTAGCCAAATGCTCTGTTGTTTGACAACAGGAAATTATGCTGAGTTAGATTCTTTTTAAAAAGAAATTCTGGCTTGGGCTGACTGCGCAGCATGCTGCCAACCACGGCTCCTGCCAACTGAAGTCTGGGAGGGCGAAGCTGGTCGGTTTGGGTATCTTTCAATCTTTTCTTCTTTTTTTTTACTGCATATCAAGTTTGGTCTGCTGGAACTTGGATATTTTTTTTAAAATTCCCATGAAGGTTTATATCTTTTTGTTCATATTTCTAAAATATATACATTTTGTTCAGAATACTGCCTAATGTACGCTGCTTTTGCCAACACTTATCCTCGATATAAGGCATTTTTTCATAAGTGTATTAATCTATCTATGACTTTTTGTGTAGCTGGAGGTCTCCCTCCCTCCCTCTTTCCCCCTTTCCCTCCCTCTTTCCCTCTCTCTTTTCTCCCCTCTTTCCCTCTCCTTCTCTCCCACTCCTTCTCTTCCTCCCTCTTTCCCTCTCTCTCTCTTCCTCTTTCCCTCTCTCTCTTTCTCCCCTCTTTCCCTCTCCTTCTCTCCCTCTTTCCCTCTCCCTCTCTTCCTCCCTCTCTCTCCCTTGTTCCCCCTCCCTCTCTCTAGTCTAAGAAGATTTTGCAGGTAGTCTCCAGAAGGTGCTCCAGGGCCGTTGGGGGTGGGTGTGTCTACTGGCTCCTCCCTCCTTTTCTCAGCATCACATGGCTACCAGTTGCACCTGATGGATCCCCTGTAAAGAAGCAGTTCACCACCACCCCCATCCCAGGAAAGAGTGAAAACTTAAGAGGAATGGAACCGTATGTCAGTTTGAAATGGAGGAAATGCAACCTACTTGAAATTACACACCTATAAGATTTGGCAACAAGAGAATAAGCTGCAGGAACCACTAGCAGGGCTTAAGAAGGTCTAACGCTGTAGGGGCGGAATGGGTCCTAGGCTCAAACAAGGCGTAACTCCATAGACAAGGGGACTTAGACTAAAAGCAAGGTAGAACTTCCAAGAAGGTAATAAATAGCTTTCTAAAATTTTACGTCCCTATTTCTGAAAATCAATTGTATCAAAGATTGTGCCTTTGCTGTTGTTCGGGGTCTCAGTTCCTTTTGCTGAAACAAAAGTTTTGTGAAAGTCCATCGCTCACGTTTGGCCCCGACTGGCTTCTGCGCCAGGCTTTCTCAGAGAGTCAAGGACGTCTTGCCCTGCATCTGGAGTGGCGTGACTGGGAGGCATCTCCAGTTGGGACGGTGCCTGATTGGGCCTTGTGATGGACATGGGGTTGATGGGCAGGGCTGGAACTTTCTTTTGGGTTTTCCCAGATGTGCCAAAATGGCATCTCTAAAAAGTGGAACTTTGAGGAAACTCAAGCCGCAGAGTCTCCTTTGGTTGGGAGTTTTTCTTGGAACCCTGACATACCCAAAGACTCAAATCACTGTAATCTCTTAGTGGAAGAAGAAGGTAACGTTCTCTGCTTAAAGTCAGACTTTTAGGCAAAAAATCCAGTACTGATTGTTGCACTTAATTAATTCTGGTCAGTGACCACAATAAATGCATTATTATATTACACTTAATTAAAACTCTTTTTGTTGATAGCTAATATATGCAGTAATAATTATTTTCAGACATTAGTCAAAAAATCATCTATTGCCTCATATTTCTGCCTTCCCCTTCTCAATCACGCCCAAGGGCTGCCGCCGGTTCGGATCAATTCAGGTGAACCGGTAGTTGCAATCTGTGGGTGCCCCCCTCCCCGGGCACAATCCCATCCTACATCGCTGTGTTTTTGACACCACAGGCACATGTGGAAGGCATGTGCCAGTGAACTGCCGTGTTGTTGGACGCTGCATGCGTGTGCGAAAGACGCGTCTGAGCTCATGTCTATGTGTTTTGCAAATGGCATGCACGCAATCGAAGCAAGTCCAGCATTTCCTGTGCTGTGCAAACCAGTTGTGAAAGTATCAGTCTCCCACCTCTCATCACCCCCATGAACAGGAGGTCCCGCTATCAACATGAACAGCCTAGGAGGTTGCCCGAGAGGGCTGTGAGCCAACCCCTCCCCCCAACTAAGGGTCTCTCCTTTGCACAAGGACTACTACGCAGTCACAATCACTACTCACTGCACAGCCGTCGAAGACCGCCCTGATGAAAGGGCTGTTGTCATACGACATCTCTTCGTCGTTGGAGCCCAGGAAGCGCATGGCCTTCTCGTAGTTGCCCACAGTGGCATCATGCCAGGCCACAGACTGGAAGCAGTTGTAGGTGATGTTTTGGTGGGCGGATGCACTCAGGAGACGCAGGAAGGTCATCTGTACCACCCCAATGGGGTTGCTGTCAGCATCCACGTAGGAGAGCTAAGGGGAAGTGGAAAAGGAGACAAGGAAGAAGCGGACCAGGGAGGCTAGGCAAGATGTGGTGGCTAGGCAAGAGGGAGGCCACTCGGCGGAAAGTTTACACCCAAGTGCCACCAAGTGTGTCACGGTATTCTTGGACCCCCTTGAGGGATGGTCAGAGAGAATTCTTTACATTTGAAAAAACACACAGCCCCCATTGTTTCTGAGAAACAAATGGGATCCTTGAGTTTTGGGCTGGTCAAATCTTAGAAATGAGAAACAGGTCTCATTTCTACAATGTTCAGGATATAGGAAGTAATTAGAAACCCTTCAATTGGCAGAATAACCAAGCATGGAATTAAAAGGATCCTTTCATAGACACATAAGAATTAGGACCACAGTCAGGAAAGACTCAAGATGTTTAGAGAAGTTGGAATGTTGGGTCAACCGTAGACATCTCAGCCACGTTGGAATTTTGGGGTTTTCCTCTGTGGATTTGTCTGAAAATCTTTCCTGTGTGTTTGTGTCAGAGATTAGGCCACCCAAGGCATCTGGTGCTCACTGTACATCTTGGTATTCCATGCCAAAGTTAAACAACTTCCAGACAAGACCCTGGTGTTCATTAGATATTGTGGGAAAGGACTGAGTGGGCCAGAAGGAAATGGGACCATGTCAACACATGCTCAGAATCAGTCAATTTCACACACATACACACACACAAATTGATAAGAAGAAACAAAGGTTTTACCAACCAGTTATGTGGGCTCCTGCCCATGATCGTCTTGAGAGAGATCGAAACGACTGACTGAGGCAAGCGTAAGCATGCTAGACAAGCTAAAAGAGCAACCAGGAACTAGAAGATGGCAGTGGATTATCCTGGGTCAGGATCTGTTCCCAAGAGATTTATGGAGGGCAACTGACTCTTCCACTGTTTAAAGCCTACCTAACATAAATTGACAACAGTGAGGATGGACCACTAGAAGGTCTCCTGTGCTTGGAACCACAGAAAGATTTCTTCTTCCTTCCTTCCAAGGCTGAACAGGTTTCTTTTGGGGAAAAAAGCTCTTTATTTTAAAAAAAAACGAAAGTCTGACTAAGTCTTGCACTAGTCTTATCACCTCCTAAATTCTTCTGATGCAGAAGGATGGGCCTCTAAAAGCAACTTATTTCCAGTTATTCCAATTAGAAGGGAGTGGCCATCTAACTCAGGGGTCTCTAACCTTGGCAAGACTTGTGGACTTCAACTCCCAAAATTCTTCAGCCAGGAAAAAAGTCCACAAGTCTTAACGTTGCCAAGGTTGGAGACCCCTGATCTAATGGACACAACATTCATTCAGTTCAGAGGCCACCCAGCACCGTTAGACTCTGGGCCGAACACTTCATTGGAAGAAATTTCAGATAAAATTCCTGAGGGGCTCCACGAGGGGTGGGATTCAGCCGGTTCAGGCGAACCAGTAGCTCCGACAATCAGGACTCTCAGCCATGGGGGCCCCTCAGAACTAGACCATCTCTCTTGAGCAGTGACACCAGGGCCTGGAAGCCAAATGGCAGCAAGTTCAGCTGGCACAGGAGGACATATTGAGGCATTTCTATCCACTGCCTTCTGGTCCAGCCACACCTCTGATGGTCTTCAAGCAGAGGACCCATGTGGAACTCATTGCAGTAATCCATTGGTGGAACCCCAGGTCAATTTGTACGACATCGTCTTTTAAAATGCCCTCTGAATTTAGAAAGAGATTAAGAGATCGTACATATTTTCACCTCAAAAAATATTATATATATGCCTCGGTGGGTGTGTGTGTGTCGGATTCAATTACTTCTAGGAATTATATATGCAAATTAAGCTGATGCTTATCAACAATGTTTAGTAAACCAGTCAATTAAATTAACTATTTTTTTTTAATGAAAAGCTAGCCTTTCTGAAAACCCTTCCCTCTCCTTCCCTGCCTTGCACACAGCCTCAGTGCACCCACAACTTAACAAATTTGGAAACCTGGTTTTGGAGGTGGTGCCTCATTTGCATTTATTAAGGAAATAATTAATATTTCATACTGGAGCTTCATACTGGAGGTGTTGGACTAATTAAAACTTAATCCCATCTCCGCTCCTTGTGTGTCCAGCTCCCTCCCTTGCCATCTGCTGTTAATGATTTTATTTGTTAATTATTTCATTGGCTGCGTTTCTAGGAGTGATGGATTTTTAATGTTTTTAATGTTTTTATTGCTGTAAGCCAGCTATTCCGAATCGTTGGATATGAGATGGGCAGCAAATATATTTCATAAATAAATAAACTTTTAGAATTTTAAAAATGGTAATTGGAAGCAAGAAGGTTAAACCATCTCATTCATCAATCCTATATCATTCAGTGTGTGAACAAGGGAAGAAGATCTTACCTCTGAAAAACTGTTGGTTGACAACCTCTCCTTAAGAACCTTTCAAGCCAAGCCAACTGAGCAACAGGCCCTTCCCAGAACTCATGATGAAGAGTTTAGGATGGAAACCATCTGGCATCTAAACCAGAGTGAGCTCAAACAGGCGCTGAAGCCCATGAGATGCCAAAAGGAGCTCTCCAGGTCTTCTGGGTGAGGGGAAAATAGCACAAGAGAGATTTGTAACCCCAAATCCACCATCGGAGATCCAGAGCTGCAAGTGGCCTTTAAAGACCCTGGGGCCACATCCATAGCTGCTCCCCAGCTCAAAATGCAATATTATCTAAATGGGTAAGCTAAATGGGTAATCACAACAATATATTGAGCCACAGTGATTCAGTGGTTAGAATGCAGAACTGCAGACTCCTTCTGCTGACTGACAGTTTGGCAGTTCAAATCTCACCAGCTCAAGGTGGACTCAGCCTTCCATCCTTCCGAGGTGGGTAAAATGAGGACCCAGGTTGGTGGGGGCAAGAGGCTGACTCTGTAAACTGCTTAGAGAGGGCTGTGAAGCAATATATGTCTAAATGCTATTGCTAGGTGGGGAGGGAGGGAGGGAAGAAGAGGAAGGGAGGACAGGCCGTGGTGTCACAGTGATTAGAATGCAGTACTGCAGGGTCCTTCTGCTGGCTGCCTGCAATTTAGCAGTTCAAATCTCACCGGCATAAGATGGACTGAGCCTTCTGTCCTTCCGAGGGTAAAATGAGTATTGGGTAAATGAGGACCCAGATTGTTGGGGCAAAGAGGCTGACTCTGCATAGAGAGGGCTGTAAAGGACTGTGAAGTGGTATGTAAGCCTAAGGGCTTATTGCTATTGCTATAAACCAAAGTGAATATTAGGATTAATTTTCAATTTCTGTCATCTAATGCATCAGAGGAATTTGGTAAGAGCTTTCTTAGGAAGGGTGAAATTTCTCAAATAGATCCGGAATTCCCACTGCATGAGCAAAGGTGGTATGGTTGCCTTTGGAAGTTTTCTAATTCCTGGTGGCTCATTGCCAGTTCAAGAAACAATCCTGATGACCAGCAAGATAACGAGAGCAAGGAAATAAGAGGGAAGGCAAAATCTGAGGCCATGAGCAAAAACCAGCAGCTGCAAACAAAATCCATAACAAAATGATTTGCACAAGACCAGTGGGATTGGCCAGCCAGACCCAGAGTGGACCTGGCTTCTCCAGTTAGTACAGTGTGGTGAGTCTGGGGACATGCGTGGGCTCCCTTGGGCAGGGAAGAAGCTCTTGACACACACAAACACACAGGACAGCCGCCTTTTCAGTGTGGTGGCAGTGCTGCCTAGCTGGAAAAGCTTTTGTGCATCTTATTCACACTCCGTGCACAGTAATGTTGACTGCAGATAGAAGAGTAAGATGTATTTTTTTAAAAAAATTAAAATAAAATGAACACTGCAGGAGAAAACTGCGTAAGAGTATTTCAAGAGGTCCCAGAAAGCTGTCACTATTGTTATTTAGAATTAATTAGCCAATAACCCGGAGTTGCCCGGGTATTTATTTATAGGGGGAAATGTTGGGACCAAACGTAATTTCTAATGTTGGATTTTCTCCCTTACCAGAGGGAGCCCCTTCGTGGAGTACTGTGAAGCTGTTACCATGGCAACTCCACTGCGCTGTACAGTAGAAGCCATTTCACGTCAGTACAGTAGAAGCCATTTGAAGGCACAACAGGCTGTATCATAACAGAGCACACATCCTGAGAGGTTTTAGGGGTTTCTTACCCCCCACAGTATTTGTTTCCATAGACTAAGTCATCTGTGTACCAAGTTTAGTTGAAATTGTTTGAGGCGTTCCAGAGTTATGCTGGAACATACATACACATACAGCCATTTTTATGTATATAGATATAAAATAAATGAACTCCCTTGCTCGAGAGGAAGCAACGGGCATGACAAAGAATATCATCAGGAATAATTGTGATGGAACTTCAACATCTTCAGAATCTTCTTTAAGTATGCTTCCAAATGTTTCCTTCACAAAGAGAAGACTTTTTACATGCCCAACCTTCATCTGAAACTGTTTTGCACCCCAGTCTTCCTTCCAGATGATGGAATATGGAATTCAAGTAGAAAAATTACATTTTCCTTATTTTGATTTTTTGCCAATGAAGCTGGGCAGATGGTGGCTAAACTTCCAGTTCTAAAGCTGTAGCAAACACTACACAGACACTGCCAATCTGGGAAGTTCTTTTCTGAATAAAGGAAGCTGAGAGAAAAGAAATCTGAGGTCTTTTGTCACCTTCTTGGCTTTTCTTGATCCCGACCCCAAAAAGAGACGCAGCCTTGTTTTCTCCCCATGTTTCAGTTCTTCAGCAACGGCCCTCCATTCAACTGAAGCACCGGAGAGACTATCATCGCAATCCCACCATCTTCCCAATGTTAAGGAAGCTTCTGGTTAGAGCTTCGGTTGGTCTCATCAGGACAAGACTCTGAGCTTTGGCATCCGGGTTCAGATTTCCCAAAGGTTCCTGTGATCTGGTTCACTCAGATCTGTGTTTAATTCAAAAGTGAATTGGAAATTGGGGTTGAATTCCGTTAGGTGCCAAGCGGGAAGGAATTTCGGCAGAAAGAGGCAAACCAGTTGACTTCAGTTATTCTAACTTGGAAAACGTTTCCATTCCATTTTTTCAATTTTGGGGAATCTTCCAATCTTTCCAGTTCAATCATTTTAAATGTAATGTTTTCAGCGTATTTTTGAGGATTTTTCTCCAAACACAAATATTTTCATATGAAATTCTTAGAATTACATCTTCTTACATAGTTTCTGTAAAGTATTTCATTGTTTTTTTTTCATAAGTTGTGAATTCTCCCAGACAGAATTCCAATTCTAAACCAAGTTCTGATTCAAACCCTTTCCTTTCCTTTTCCTTCCTCCTCTCCTCTCCTCCCCTGCCCTGCCTGGTTCTCTGTAGCCACAAGAATCTCTTGATCAGATCAAAGGACGAGCTTAGAGTCAGAAAGGCCAAGGAGACGTCGGTTATGGTGAGGGCCCCAATGGAGCCTTCAAACTCCCTCAGCAATTGCTCCTCGGCATCCTTGGACTCTTCTAGTGCTGCTCATTACTTCAGCATTTAAAGTGAAATTAGTTTGGGGCCAGATGTGGAAAGCGGACATGGCTGGCGTACTCCAGATGGAGGGCGGAGGGAGCCAGAAGCTTTACCACTTACCAATGAGCCTCGCTTGTAGCGACTATACCAGGTGGCTGGCTGCTCTTTGGGCCAACGGGCCATTTTGCTCTGCAAAATATGAGGAGGGGTTAAAGCCAAACAGAAATCTGAATGTGGGTTCCTCTTACCAGTTTACCGCGCTTGAATTCACTGAACCAGGAGCCCGGGGTTTCCTTTGGCCATGAAGTAATTCTAGCCTGAAAATGGTGGAAGAGGCACGTTGGAGGAAGAGAAGAAGAGAGACAAGACAAAAAGGAGAGTTACACTCTGGAATGAAAGGTTCCCACGGAAATCACTTGAGTCTTTCTTTTTAAGCAAAACCAAAAACTGACAAAGGAACCTCTGACACTTTCTGGGGCCATACGAGTTGAAAGAGAACCCAGAAAGCCAATATTATTTCCTGGGGCCTGGATGATTGCTGTTAGTGGGGAGGAAACCAAGTGTCAGAGCTGGCTTGCGTCGGAGTTTCGATGGATGCCCTAATTAAATCATGAGCCTCGAGCCAAGCTTCAAAAGAAATCCAATTATTTATTAGGAACAACATGCCGGCACATACCCAAGTGAAGCCAGCTCTGACCCCACGTAATTTACAGCCCAATTATGACCCCCAGGGTGTGTCATAAATCACATTCTCCAACTAAGTACTTTCACAGGCTGTAGAGATCACGCCCCTCCGGCTGTTGCAGGTAACCTGGGACACAGCCTTGAGAAAGATATGCATGGAATGTGCTTCTGGTTGTGGCTGCCGTTCTGCTCTGTCAGTTTCCCCCACTTCTTACCTATGGCAACTCGAGAGCAGGCCAGGGATGCTTTGCAAGTTGACACCAAGAGAGAAACAGGCCTGCTAAGGCCATCCTGGCAAAGGGGTAGGTTGACTCCCCTCTCTCTTTAAAAAGCCGAAGAAGACTGTTCTGCTTCCAAGGAGAGATTTCCTTCTCTGAATGCTTACTAGTGTGTTCAAATATATTGTCCTAATTGTGAAGTCTAGAGCTCTCCTATTCCTCGCTTCATCTCATGGTGACCCACACTGTCATATCTGGCTTTGGATAGGTGAAATCTCCAGATCACACTTGAGGGACTGGTGGCTCTCCAGATATTTTGTGTACCAACTCCCAATAGCCTGAGCCAGAGGCCATTCTAGAAGGTGAAGCAATACAAGCCACTTTCATAATCATAGGAGTCATCTATTGTCTTATGCACTCTTTATTTGCCAAGAAAGGTTCATGCTTCTGGCGTCAAAACTCAACTGTCAGCATTCCAAGGTGTATTAGGTGGTATTAGGCTGAACCTTGACTAACCTCTCTCTGATTTCTTTTCTTTGCAGGAAGTCCTTTTCAATTAAGATGGGGGGGGGGGGGGCTCCTGTCAACCCTGAAGCTGAGCTGACCGGAGCCATTTTGAAGCTTCAGTCTTGCCACACTCAAGCTAAGGGATAGGGAGGGGGGAGTAGAAATAGCTGGGGTTTTGTAGCCAAAACAAAATACTTTCTCCTGGGAACCAAGGACATTCCCACAGGTGGCCAGAGAAAGGAGGAGAGAAGTTACCAGGCCACTTAATTGGATCATGTGGCTGATTGTTTGGGAAAGGGGGAAAACGTTTATTAGGTGAAAACCGTGAGTCGGTTTTCACCAGACTGTGCCAATATGATATGTCCAATAAATCAATTCTTTGAGGAGCTCGCTTGCCTTGGATCCTGTTTGTTGATGGCGTATTGCTTAGAACCCTGACAGCTGGCCTCACTGAGGCCATTTTCTAGGCTTCAGTGCTGCCATGAACATGGTGCATGAATTTTAGGGCAACTGCTGAGCCACCAGAAGTTGTTGCATCCCATTTCCATGAATTCTAGTCAGCACGGCCAATAATGGATGATGGAAGAGCCATCTAAAGGTATCTAAGGCCTATCCAAGGTTTACTGCATTGCGCAGTAAACAAGAGGACTTTACACTGCTGGCACCATGGCTAAAATCCAATACATCCAACAATTACCCAACCGTCTGGGCCAGATCAAAAACCAACAATTGTTGTCCTTCTTGAAAGCTTGTATGCTTGCTTAATGGCCTGCTATCAATGAATCTCCGAAGAGTTCCAGATACGGTACTAGGAGAGTTATGTCAGGCTCAAAAAAATTCTGATTGTCAGCTGCTACCTCATGCTCACTTGTACTTCGCTGGTATGCGGTGACACTGTGCCATGAATTATAGAGAAGAGGGATGAAGGGGGGCATGTTTGGGAAACCCAAAGTAGGTGCTGGGCTGACTAGAGAAGTTGCTTCAAGGTCACCCATCTGGGAAGAGGAGGGAGCTGCATTCCAGAGCATGCTTGAACTGACCATTAGGAAAACAGTTTGCAAGATTCTAATTGGTTACCTTGGGGAAATGAAAGACAGTTAAGAAGGGGAAAGGAGAAGAACGTATAACAGGGATTTTGGCACACAAATCTCAGTTCTGGCTATGCATTACTGCAATACACTTCATCTCTCATAAAATAAATATTCCTTTCTCAGCAAATGGAGCCAAGTATTGTTTTCTACTTAAGAGATTTTAAGGTTATGGCAGGTCTGATATGGATAGCAGCTTTTCAGACCAACTGCTCAATTAAAAAGCATCAGTTTTCACGAGCTGCCTCTGAGGAAGTCTGCTATAGCTCATTAAAGTTGATGCCTTTTAAAGAAAGGTAACAGCGTGAGAAAGTAACACCAGACTTCTGACTTGAATCTCAAGCATTTATGGGAAGAGCAGATTGCTTCTCTAACTGTACTTTTCCCAGTTCTTATCTATGCATTCACATGTCCCTTTCTTGCTACAGGTGTGTGTGTTTGTGCACTGCCAGTGGCAGACAGGAACTTGAAGAATGGGGAGGCTGAGTGCTTAGAATACAATGCTCCCTGGACTGTTTAGGTGGAGAATGATCTGGAACCTTCCAACAGGCATGCTAGCCCTCCCCCACTCCCCGGTGGGATGCGCAGAGGACATATCTACTCCCAAAGCTAGCCTGAAAGAGCTGATGCGGGTTTGAGCTGCTTTAAAAAATGCTACAGGGTTTAGGGAAAGAAAGAAAGAAGACTGACTCCTTTAAATATGCCCAGAACTTTTAATATAGGTTTATGTTATTTATGTTTATGTTGTTTATGTTATGTTTAAAATGGCTTTTTGTTATGTTATTCATGGAGCCTCCTTCATACCCGAACATTTAAGCATGAAAAAAGCTGCTTTTAGGGCAGTGTATAATTGGGAAAATAAATCTGTCCTATGAATAAATGGTACTTTATCACAAGAAGAAATAAATAGACATGTATCTACTACACACCTAAACAACCAAACACCTTTGGATCAATAGCTTAAAGAAGTTTAAAGTGGAAAATATTCCTAGGATAAGAGTGTTTTATGGTCACAGGAGTGAGTCTTTTTGTTGTTCCCATAAATCTGGGCCCCTTCTCCCCCCTAGGTGGCTTTGGCCTGACTCCCGGTGGCTTTTTGTGGTCAAATTGTCACTGTTGTGTGGGTGGGTGGGGAACAAGGTGCAAAAACAGAGGTCCCCTCATTTTCAGAGAAACAGATAGATATTTGTGCCAAAAGAAGTGGACTGACTAGAAAAGGATGGAATTTGTTTCTCATCTAAAAGAGGGTGGCCAGCCAGATGCCATTGGGTCCTCAGGGGCCTCTAGAAATCCCGGGGGTCTTAAGATTGAGGGCTCAGAAGGACTTCAGCCTTGTCTCCAGAATCTATCTGGAAAAAAGAAGGGTCTGGCTATGTTTGGGGTCCTAAGAATCACAGGACTTTCATAGATGTGCATACCAAGAGGAGAGTCCAGCACGTTGGATCCCAATCTGGACAGGAGCGACATGGGGCAATTTCTAACCCTCCCAAAGCAAGAGGCCCAGAGCAGAGGTGTGTTGTTCTCGGTTTTACTACTGATTCGCTATGCGCCCGTGCGCAGTTCAATGTAAATTGTTCTTTGCGCATACACAGAATAATTTACAGTGAACTGCACACATACGTGCACTACTAAACAACATGCTGGCAATGCCAGCAGCAACTGGGGAAACGATTCAGAGGCGTGGTCAGCCTGGGTCACTGCCGGTTCTGCGACCCAGGCCAGAATACCACTCCCAGTTTGGCCGAACTGGGCCGAACCGGAAGCAACCCAGCTCTGGCCCAGAGGTAACTTTTGTCCCAATGCAAGAGCCTGTGTGAAATAGCCCACACACAAATACACCCCAAACAGGAAATAATAAATAATTAGCAATGTGCAAGAACTGGCTTAATCCTTTGTTTCCCATTTTCCCTTTACAAGTTATAAAACAATAGAATAGATTAGAATAGAATAGAATAGAATAGAATAGAATGGGACATTGGAG